AACACAAACTGCAGCTCAAATGATGACAAACCTGATAAATCCTGTTGTTTTAATTGAAGGTTGAATGTAGAAGGGCAGTTTCATGGCTAACACTGTGGGTGTTTCTCAATGTCAAGGCGCCCAGATCCAAAATCCCACAATATCGTACAGAGAGGCCTAAATTATCGTTTTTCAGTACAAATTATCGTACATTATTAATTTCATAACGTTCTATAAACGACTTCTCACTCCAATATAATATAACAAAGAAGGTGTTTTATATTGCCCTGTTTAATTAAACATCTTTAAAACCAGTAATATAATGCCAATAAACGCGCAGTGTGTGTCGGCACCACTCCGACCTCCACTCATTCAGTGCGTTTACATGCAGCCAGTAACCCTTTTAAAACCCGAATATTCACAATAACCCGGTTCCGCAGGTCCCTGTAAACACCGCCAAAATCCCGGATATCTCATAACCGGGTTTTTAAAAACCCGGTTACTACACCTGGGGTAACCCTTTTCTAACCCGAATGTTTGGTCGTGTAAACGCATACCGGGATATCCCCATCAAAGCGTGTGTTCTGCACATGCTCTGTTCGCAAGGAATCTTGGTCTTTTGAGTAGCGAGACGTCTTGTATGCGCCAGAACACCAGAAGTAAACAAGTTGGGGGCAAAATGGCGAGTCGCGGCACAGCACCACACTTTCGGAGTGACGAGGAAACTAAAGCACAAACAAACGTGGTCGCTATCTCTTCCGAACTGGGAAACATGTTGTTGTTTTCACGGATACCCAAACAAGAAGAACCGGAAATGACGCATATTGCGTCTGGACGTAGTCCATACGTCCTGACGCTACCCCAACGTCCGCATTTAAATCGGGTTATGCAAGTTAGAGGTAACTCTTTCTATTTATGCTTGTAAACGGGTTATTCTGATCAACTCAGAAACCCGAATCCCGACCTTAACCCGATCATAACCCGGATATTGGCTGCATGTAAACGTAGTCATTGACATAACATGCACATTTGCGCAGTCCTATTTATTTAATTTCTACATAGGTTAAAAACACACGACAAAACATCACAGCAGTGGAAAAACTGACCCAATAAATGACAAAGCAGCCTAATCACCTATTTGCTGATCTCGATCTCCTCATCTGATTCACTGTCTGTCGCAGCATCACCAGCAGTAGATGTGGAGGCCTTGCTTCGGTGCAAGTTTGATTAAGTCAGGGAGTGCAACGTAGTTTTTGTGGGAGCAAACTTCTTGGCATCTTCCTCCGTTGCTAACACATTCAGAAGCTTGCATTAGTCCATTGAGAGTTGCCGTAATGAGCCTGTTTCGGGGTTTGGTCTTTATTAGGTTCACTTTTGAGAAGACTCGCTCGCATGAAGCATTGGAATGGGGAAAAATCAGTACATCCAAGGCGAAAGTAGCAAGATCTGCAAACAACCTTTTCCCGCTCATGTCTTGCATGGTGGATAAGTTGTACTGGAATGCATCCACGTCCATACTTTTGTAACTGTCATTGAGGTCCGTGATAGCCAGCTGTCTCCACTGGTCATCGATGAGCTGGATGCGGTCAGTGTCCTCGATGTCCAGTAAGCGAGGCACAGTATGGGAAACAGAGAAGGGTAAATGGTGCGCGCTTGTGGGTCCATTGCCACAGCAGGAGAAAAACAGTCCAGAGCACACAGCAGAGGGTCGTCAAAGCAATTTTTAATTTCTGAACAACCAACTTGCAGAAATCTCTGGCAACGCATGAAAAAGTCTAACAATTGCAGGGTTAATGCGTGTGTTTTGGAGCTGCTGCTTTACCCCTACGCCCAAGTGCAGTGTGTTAACTGGCAGATAACTGGAGATGTCTGTTGGATCAATCTGGCTCAGTTTTGTGTGGAGAATGTAGTTCCTATCCATAAAAGATAAGAGGAGATCTTTGTAAGTCTCGCTCATTTTCTTGTGCAGAGATGTGATGGCAACCTTCTCACTCTGGAAATACTCATTCAGGTTTGTACATTTTGATAAAACCCATTCCAAAAAGCGAAAGTATAGTCTAAGTGAGTCATCATGGAGAGCCCTGTAGACATTTTCTGCAGCATTTAAACGTTCCGCCACCCACTGATCGGTAAAGAAGAGCCAAAGCGCACTCCACTGCGCGTTGATGCGCTTTACGACCTGATACAGAGAAAGCCAACGGGTCTGTGCTGGCTTCAGGATTTTGTGAGGCTCGACACTACAAAATTCCTGGAACTCCTTCAGTTGTGCCTGGCGTTTAGCACTGTTTTTGAAATAGGAATGTATATCCCTTGCTAAATCTTCACATTGTCGTAGTAGCTGCTTACATGACTCACTTGCGCACAAATGCAAGGAATGACCAATGCATCGTTGCACTGTGATCCCAGGAAGGTCATGCTTGAGGCGGCTGGAGACGCAATTGTGTTGTCCCATCATGGTGTTACACCCGTCCGATGCAAAGCCCACAATGTTCTCTAGAGGAACATTTGCAGATGTAAATGACTCCAAAATTTTTGTGTAAAGAAGCTCAGCTGTTGCGCCGTTGTAACTTGCCTGCGGCCGATCATCTGAAAAGGTCTGAGCTAATTTCCAAAAGCGTGTCTGCACTGATTTGAAGCTGTCATCAAAGAAACGGACCACAGTGCACAGAGTTTTAACTGTACCAATGTCTGTAGACTCATCTGCAAGGATGCCGAACTTTTTACGTCGTAATATTTCAGAAAGTTCTTCAAAGTGGCATTGTCCAAGAACATTCTACAACAGTTTAAAATGATGTAATTGGCATGGGAAAGCCACAGCAAAAGACGGTGTTACTAGATGCAATGTGAAATTGTCGTACATTTGAGGATTTTTGAAACTATTGATCGTACATCATACAGAGCCCAAAATTATGGTACTGTGACAGCTGCCCTGCTGTCACACTTCAAGTAAATGACTGTCTGTTAATGTTTCTTTTATTTTGAATAAAGGTGTTTGTTTCTAAGGATTGACTGTTTGGGTGACCGTATGAAGTGCACACGTTCAGTTACTCATTGGTTTTAGTCTGTAGGGGTTTGTATGATTAATATGTTTTCTTTGAGTTGCCAGTGGCCTTGGAGTTGGAGCAGCTGTAGCAGATCACTTGGCCTAATCAGCACCATTGGGTCAGACCAACTCTCAAGGGAGAAGATTCCTGTGTTTGTTTATGTTTATTTATTTGGCAGACGCTTTTATCCAAAGCGACTTACAATCTATAACCTATAGGGCGTGTTGTGATCTGTGGGGGAAACCGGAGTACCCGGAGGAAACCCACGCATGCATGGGGAGAACACGCAACTCCACGCAGAAAGGCCACAGCCGAGTTTCGAACCTGCAACCTTCGTGCTGCGAGGAAATAGTGCTAACCACTGCGCCACCATGCAGCCTTGTGTATTTAGTTATTCTCTTTTGTAAATAGTAGTTGGGTTTTGATAGTAATATGTTTTCATTTGAAGTAACAAACAGAATGGACTGATTAGTATGAATTAGTTAGGGGTAGCTTATTTATGTTCTTTGTTTATTGATGTCTCCTCACGCTAGTGTGTTGGCAGAGGTCTGATCAGCCACTATTTAAGTTGATCCTGTTGTGTCTGTAGGGAGGTTTTTTGTACATGTCTGTAGTCAGGCCCTGAGTTTGGGTTCCTTTGTTACTACATCCATTGTTATGTAATGTCAAGTGCTGGTTGGAACCCTCTTTGGAGAAAAGAAATAAAGTAATAAATTAAGACGTCAAGAAAACCATCCGTGCTCTCCTGGCTGGTTTATGCAAGTCGCTGACAGGTACAAATACGATAATTATCGTACATCTGGCAACACCAGGCGCCTTGCTTACGAGGACACTGTCCTTCCTTGGTCAAAGAAAACGGTTAAATGGAACAGACTTGCATCACGTGACACGGGAGATAACGTTATATTTTGTAGATATTAGTTTCAATATAAATATATAACGAGACTTTTACTTTTTAAATTGTGTATATGTTTATCAAATTAAATATGTAAGTGAGTTACTACCCGCTAGCCACCGAAGCTGAAACTACTAAGCAACTAACCAACCATAGATAACTTCTTTGGATCTAAAAAAACATTTTAAATTAGTTGACTTACTTTTAAACTTGAAAATTGTCCCTGAAGTAGCTGCCGGCTTCTGATCTGCCGTCCTTTTGAAAATACCGTGGTGTGTTCTGGGTAATTTTTGACCAAGTCTAGGCTACAAGACACCTCCCATGTATCCTTGCTCAGCTAGCTAAACGGCTAACAAACGGAGAACACACGCCTCGGTAGAACATGAACATTGGAACACGTCTTGGCGGCTCCCGATGACGTATCTCCTAGGCAACCGGGCAGGGCCAAGACATCAAGGCGAGGTTCCTCGGCATTGAGAAACCCCCTTAGACTTGCACAATGAAAGGCTGCGTTCCACTCCTGCACATACGCTGTTGGGCAGGACTACTTCTAAATGTGATGTAGCCCTCAGGGAAACATCTGAACTTCTTGCACTCTTTGAATGTATCTGTGCCTTGAAACAGACCTATGGGGCTTTTTGGGTGATCTGGTAAAGGAACCTTCTATTAGGAAGACATGTGACGGGCATCTCTGGGGAAGATGGGTGTGTTACTAATAGGAGGGCTCTGATTGGATTTTTTAGTTGTCAGGTGACACAAATGACTAAAAACTTCAAAATGGAGGGCAGCTTATCAGATTTAGTGGATTTGACGTTATTTGTATTGTCCAGAGGAGGAACTGAAGGGGGTTTCTGTTAAATCAGCATAATGTAGTAAACATTTCAGAGTTATCTTTAGCGTCTTGTTTTCACGTCATAGTAACACGTTTACATTCAAACTTCCTGGATTAACACAATCCAGTTTAATCTCCAAATTAAGATGTGTTGTTCAGTTTGAGGCACCTGGACTTGGTAACGATGCTGATCGGTTGAATACCAAGAGCACCATCATGTCGTCATGGTTTCCACATGTCTACTCCTCAGGCTCCCGTCAGAGATTTGGTTAAAGATTCTGTCGTACCTGGACACCCCCTCGTTGTGCTGCCTGAGCCAAGTGAACAAACCCCTCCATCAGCTCGCCAACGACAGGTGAGTCAGTAGTAGTTGTCGTTCTGGCGGCATTTTACCCCAAAGGTTCTGCTTGTTGGTGCAAAAGGCAAAAACAGGTGGACCAGACTTATTACCCCAGAGATCTTATCAACGTGACTGATTCACCTGCTGTAACATTTTGTTTCTGTAGCATCTTGTGGGAGAGGGTCTACACGTCCATGTTTGAGAGACGAATGAGGACGCTGAGTGTGAGAGATGACTCGGTGGAGCAGGAGGGAATATCCGAGAGCCAGGAAGGAGCGCCAGCAAGGACGGATCTTGCTGTGAACCACTGGAAGAGGATTTACTTCAAAAGGATGGCTTCACAAGAGATGAGCAAGTGGGGGAGAGAACTGAGAAACACCAGCCCTTATACGGGTCTGCCCATCCACACTGCACTCGTGCTCAGGTAAGAGACCAACTCAACTGGCCTGTGGGTTCAACATTTCCAGGCTTTACTGTCCTTTAGTCTCTCTTGAAAAAGCCTGAAACGCCACCAAGTGATTCCAGGTTTTACCACGGTGAGCAAAGGGAACAGTTTAACCAAAACTCACCGTTTGCATCCATACTGCCTCTAAAAACACTTCCAGACGTGAATTCATCCATCCATCCATCCATCCATCCATTTTTTATCCGCATATCCGGAGTGTGGTCACAGGCAGCAGCCTAAGGCGAGAGGCCCAGACTTCAGGTCGGCAGTCTTACCCATGACTGCGGTTTTGAGTAGTGAACCAGGCTGGGAGTTTCTAAAAGCCTCAGGAATCTTTTGCAGGTGTTTAGAGTTAATTAGTTGATTCAGGTGATTAGGTTAATAGCTCGTTTAGAGAACCTTTTCATGGTATGCTAATTTTTTGAGATAGGATTTTTGGGTTTTCCTGAGCTGTACGCCAAAATCATCAATATTAGAAACAGTAAAAGGCTTGAACTACTTCAGCTGTGTGTAATGAATATAATATATATGATATTCTAATGTTTATCAGTACATTACAGACAGTAATGAACTTTATCATAATATGCTAAGCTTTTGAGGAGGACCTGTATAAATCACACAAATTTTATACATTATTTATAAAAGGCATGATTACGTTCTGTAAAGGTTTTGATCCACTGAAATATCTGTTGTTCTTTTTCAGAGATCTTTCTTAGAAAAATTCACTCTACTGCTGATCTGCAACGTTGATGTTTTATCTCCACAACTAACACAAGCCTGGAGGAGTTCTGCTGTGTGGTGGAGTTGCTAATGCTAACAGTTAACTTCTACTAGCTGAGACGTTCTCTGCCGTTTCCTGGACACTAAACCAACAACAGCCTTCCCCGTCGTGAGTCCATGAATGTGTGGCGTAGATCTGTCAGGATTTTCTAATCCTAGAGTTTCACCGTCTGTTTTCTATCAGAAGCTAAAGCAGGAGATAGGTGCAGGAGACTTTTCATAAGAGCCTCGTGATTTTTATCTTTTGAGTCGCTTTATAAAAGATTGTTTTATTTCTTTCATTCTTTCATGTTCAGCCTGCATGAAAAACTCAGACACTGATTATAATCAGGACTAATCATTAAAAAATGTTTTCAGTGAGCCACACCTTTAAAGATAGAAATATTGGAAAAAATGATTTTAACAGTAATCAATAAGCATGAAATTATTAAATAAATACACATTTATTTATCTTAAAATGTGTTGCCATCCACAAAACTCATGTTTACAGATTAAAGGTTTCATGATTCATTTCAAAATGAGAACTCATACAAGTATTACTCCGTCACTGTGGCAGTTTCACCGTCTGTTTTCTATCAGAAGCTAATGCAGGAGATTGGTGTAGGAGACTATTTTCATGTTTAGCCTGCACGAAACACTCAGAGTGACTCATTATAATCAGAAATAATCATTAAAAATGTTTTTTTCTGTGAACCACACCTTTAATTATATTTGCCTAATGGACTTTTTGAGTTTCTGTAAAAAGACTAAATGGTTTAACTGTAGACATCTGGTCAGGTTTAGCTCTGAAGGATGGAGACAACTTTTTGAATTAAGATGCTAAAGCCCTACTAGTGCAATTGTTATTATGAATATTACTTATTGCCATCCATCCATCCATTTTCATCCGCTTATCCGGAGTCGGGTTGCGAGGGCAGCAGCCTAAGGCGAGAGGCCCAAGCTTCCCTCTCCCCAGCCACTTGGGCCAGCTCCTCCGGGGGAATCCCAAGGCGTTCCCTGCCCAGGTGAGAGACATAGTCCCTCCACCGTGTGTCCATGATCTTCCTTTAGGTATCCTCCCGGTTGGACGTGGCCTGAAAGCCTCACCAGGGAGGCGTCCAGGAGGCATCCTGACCAGATGCCCGAGCCACCTCAACTGGCTCCTCTCGATGTGGAGGAGCAGCGGGTCTACTCCGAGCCCCTCCCGAATGACCGAGCTTCTCACCCTGTCTCTAAGGGAGAGCCCAGCTAGCCTGACCAGCCTGCCCCATGCTTCCTTATGGGAACCATTGGGCCTGGTAGCACTTCTATCCAAATAACCCCACACCTGAGACCGAGCCAATCAGCGCTGAGCAGCGTATTTCACACACACACACACACACCCCGCAACGCTGAGTTTCTCATAAACAACAAAGACTGAAGCGGAGTTCGCTGCGGCTCTTTCCTCTGTTCTAAATGAGTTGAACACGTCTTTAAAACCACAGCAAGTAGAAACGCTAAAAGCCTTTCTTCTAAAGAAAGAGCCTTGCGCGGTCGCCTGATGCCATTTTCACTACAGCTAAAAAATGACAGCGTTGTGCGGTACAGTCGGCATTTCCGCCTTTTTTCTGATTGGTTATTTTTTAGCTGGCTAGTCCCGCCCCTCATGTATCTTTCTGCCTGTGAGTAACCAGACTACACAGAGGACGAGTCTGTTAGGCCAGGCCAGGCCAGAGCCCAGCCACCCTGCAGAGAAAACTCATTTCGGCTGCTTGTGTCTGTGATGTTGTTCAGTCTTACCTGATGGTACGTGTGATTTTGAGCTGGCCAATCAGTCAGCAATGGGCGTATTGGACCAGTTCAGCTCCGGGCAGACGCCTCAGGAAGAGGGCTGAAAAGACGTGCGGTTGTGCGTGAGGAAATCCAAGGCTAGCTAAAAGAGAACACTCCCAACCCGGTCCAGGCGGAGTGGAGCTGATGCCGGTGTGAAAGTGCCGTATGGCGACTGAAACGGAAACCCAGGTGTTTGTGTGTGACAAAGGCACTAAAAACGTTTTACTGCCTTCCAGGTGCACCGCATTGCTACAGCAGTGGGTGGAGTCTGGCAGAGCGATCTGTGGTGAACCCATGCCTCGCTTCTAACGAAGAAGCAGCAAGCTAGCAACAGCTGGTCGCTATAGTTAGAGTTAAAGGTGTGGTTAACTCGTTTAGTCAACACATCAGCAGTGGCCTCTAGAAGGAATGAATGATGTCACCACCCTCAGCTAGGCTGTCCTCATCTCTGCCGGTTTTTAGGATTCGCCTGAAAACCCGCTTCTTCCGCTTGGTGTTCCCTGAAGGTGTTTGAGGCCGGCCCTCTTTGTGTTGATTTTGTTTTCCTGTTTTTATTGGTCACTCGATACCTTGTTTTATCCATTTGTTTCTACTTTAATGTTTTACCCTCTTTGCACTGTTTTAATTGCTTTTATTATCTAAACGGTAAATGGCCTCTATTTGATATAGCGCCTTCTAGGGTCCTTGAACCCCCCAAGGCGCTTTACAACGCAATCAGTCATTCACCCATTCACACACTGGTGGGGATGAGCTACGATGTAGCTACAGCTGCCCTGGGACGCACTGACAGAGGCGAGGCTGCTGAGCACTGGCGCCACCGGTCCCTCTCCGACCACCACCAGTGGGTTAAGTGTCTTGGCCAAGGACACAACGACAGCGACCGACTGAGTGAGGCTCGAACCTGCAACCTTCCGATTACGGGGCGAGCACTTAACTCCTGTTCCTCCGTCGCCCCATCTATTTATTCATTGTGATTTACATTTCTCATGTACTGTGTACAGCGCCTTGGGCCGCGGTAGGCACTTTATAAATAAAGCTTTGAATTGAATTGAATGCCTTGTAAGTCATACTCTGGGTTCAAAAAGCTCTGGTGCTCCTTTTTCAGGAACTAAAAGTGAGCCAGATGAGAGTTGAGCTTCAGACGACGGATCTGGAGGCTCATGTTGACATCTCTCCTCTGATTAGCTAACCGCAACACGACTCTACCACCGACTCTGTTTGCTCTGCAACGTTGATGTTTTATCTCCACAAAGAACACAAGCCAGGAGGAGTTCTGCTGTGTGGTGGAGTTGCTAATGCTAATGTTAGCTTCAACTAGCTTGGACGTTCTCTGCTGTTTCCTGGACTAAACTAACAACAGCCTTCCCCGTCGTGAGTCCAGATGGGTGAGTCCAGGAATGTTAGTGACAGAGTGACGTAGATCTGTCGGGACTTTCTATTCTAGAGTTTCACTGTCTGTTTTCTATTAGAAGGTACTGCAGGAGATAGGTGTAGGAGACTATCTTCATGTTCAGCCTGCATGAAACACTCAGTTTGACCCATTAGAATCAGAAATAATCATTAAAACATGGTTTCTCTGTGAACCAGTCCTTTAAAATCCTTAGAGAAAACCAGCATTCCCAGTTCTAAACAAGAGGAACGTTTCAGGAAATGAGTGTTAATGGCTGCTGCTGTTTGGGTCGGGTTAGAACTGCCCGAGTTCTCTGATGTTCTGATGAGTGAAATCTGAGATAAACACTGAATCAGGCTTACGTTATAAAAAGGGCTGTTGTTTAGTTTGGAGTTCTGAAGTTGGCATAAACGTGTTTTCAGTTCCTGCCTTTTGTGTCGTTCAGGGACGAGAAGGTGAGGTGGGAGCTGACGCTGTGCTGCCACTCAGGGCGAGAATGCACGCTGGACCACAGACAAGCCCAGTTCTTCGAGTCATCTGTGATCCTCAGCTGGAGCGGATTAAACAAGATTAAGTTTTATCAGATTAGGTACCTCAAGCTGTACGGACTCAACCCACGGTGAGAAAAGGTTCCTCACAAAAGCTTTTCTCGTTTAATAAATACCTTCTTTTGCATCAGATTTAGCAGGAAACTAGCCTTTATGTTTGAAAGGTGCTTATTGGACTTTTTACCTCCTGATGGAAACACCCTTCACGTTCATTTACAGAACAAATGATCAGTTCTCCAACTTCACTTCTAATTCGGGTTGGGCATCAAACTTCGATTGGAACTGGGACTAACAGTTTTTCCCGGGAGCATTCAAATGATTTTTTTGATTCCTAGTTTTCATTCCTAGGCTACCAACCGGAAGAATAATCTGCGGCCGATCTCGGTGAAAAAAATGTGATCTGCCTTTCAGAGCCGATCACACCAGCTGTCTGACACTATGCAGTCCGCAGAGAGCAGCATGGCGGCCCCTCCCTTCCCTCACACTGCAATGTAAAGAAACGTGTCTGCTGACCTTTCTCCGTGATGTAAACTTTGCATCCAGCAGCAAAAAATATGGCGCGGAGAAAGCTCGTTAAAATGCATCATCACTGCGGTTAAAATGCGTCAACATGGCGGTTAAAATGCGTCAACATGGCGGTTCAAATGCGTCAACACGGCGGTTAAAATGCGTCAACACGGCGGTTCAAATGCGTCAACACGGCGGTTAAAATGTGTCAACACGGCGGTTAAAATACGTCAACACGGCGGTTAAAATGCGTCAACAGGGCGGTTAAAATGACGGCGGTTAAAATGCGTCAACACGGCGGTTAAAAAGCGTCAACACGGCGGTTAAAAAGCGTCAACACGGCGGTTAAAAAGCGTCAACACGGCGGTTAAAATGCGTCAACACGGCGGTTCAAATGCGTCAACACGGCGGTTCAAATGCGTCAACACGGCGGTTAAAATGCATCAACACGGCGGTTAAAATGCGTCAACACGGCGGTTAAAATGCGTCAACAGGGCGGTTAAAATGACGGCGGTTAAAATGCGTCAACACGGCGGTTAAAAAGCGTCAACACGGCGGTTAAAAAGCGTCAACACGGCGGTTAAAAAGCGTCAACACGGCGGTTAAAAAGCGTCAACACGGCGGTTAAAATGCGTCAACACGGCGGTTAAAATGCGTCAACACGGCGGTTAAAATGCGTCAACACTGCGGTTAAAATGCGTCAACACGGCGGTTAAAATGCGTCAACACGGCGGTTAAAATGCGTCAACACGGCGGTTAAAATGCATCAACACGGCGGTTAAAATGCGTCAACACGGCGGTTAAAATGACGGCGGTTAAAATGCATCAACACGGCGGTTAAAAAGCGTCAACACGACGGTTAAAATGCGTCAACACTGCGGTTAAAATGCATCAACACGGCGGTTAAAATGCGTCAACACGGCGGTTAAAATGCGTCAACACGGCGGTTAAAATACGTCAACACGGCAGTTAAAATGCGTCAACACGGCGGTTAAAATGCATCAACACGGCGGTTAAAATGACGGCGGTTAAAATGCGTCAACACGGCGCTTAAAAAGCGTCAATACGACGGTTAAAAAGCGTCAACACAGCGGTTAAAATGCGTCAACACGGCGGTTAAAATGCGTCAACACGGCGGTTAAAATGCGTCAACACGGCGGTTAAAATGCGTCAACACGGCGGTTAAAATGCGTCAACACGGCGGTTAAAATGCGTCAACTCGGCGGTTAAAATGTGTCAACACGGTGATTAAAATGCGTCAACACGGCAGTTAAAATGCATCAACACGGCGGTTAAAATGCGTCAACACGGCGGTTAAAATGCGTCAACACGGTGGTCAAAATGACGGCGGTTAAAAAACGTCAACACGGCGGTTAAAATGACGGTGGTTAAAATGCGTCAACACAGCGGTTAAAAAGCGTCAACACGACGGTTAAAAAGCGTCAACACAGCGGTTAAAATGCGTCAACACAGCGGTTAAAATGCGTCAACACGGCGGTTAAAATGCGTCAACACGGCGGTTAAAATGCGTCAACACGGCGATTAAAATGACGGCGGTTAAAATGCGTCAACACGGCGGTTAAAAATCGTCAACACGACGGTTAAAAAGCGTCAACACGGCAGTTAAAAAGTGTCAACACTGCGGTTAAAATGCGTCAACACGGCGGTTAAAATGCGTCAACACGGCGGTTAAAATGCGTCAACACGGCGGTTAAAATGCGTCAACACGGCGGTTAAAATGCGTCAACACGGCGGTTAAAATGCATCAACACGGCGGTTAAAATGCGTCAACACGGCGGTTAAAATGCGTCAACACGGCGGTTAAAATGCGTCAACACGGCGGTTAAAATGCGTCAACACGGCGGTTAAAATGCGTCAACACGGTGGTTAAAATTCGTCAACACGGTGGTTAAAATGCGTCAACACGGCGGTTAAAATGCGTCAACACGGCGGTTAAAATGCGTCAACACGGTGGTTAAAATTCGTCAACACGGCGGTTAAAATGCGTCAACACGGCGGTTAAAATGCGTCAACACGGCGGTTAAAATGCGTCAACACGGCGGTTAAAATGCATCAACACGGCTGTTAAAATGCGTCAACACGGCGGTTAAAATGCGTCAACACGGCGGTTAAAATGCGTCAACACGGCGGTTAAAATGCGTCAACACTGCGGTTAAAATGCGTCAACACTGCGGTTAAAATGCGTCAACACGGTGGTTAAAATGACGGCGGTTAAAATGCGTCAACACGGCGGTTAAAAAGCGTCAACACGGCGGTTAAAAAGCGTCAACACGGCAGTTAAAATGCGTCAACACGGCGGTTAAAATGCGTCAACACGGCGGTTAAAATGCATCAACACGGAGGTTAAAATGCGTCAACACAGCGGTTAAAATGCGTCAACACTGCGGTTAAAATGCGTCAACACGGCGGTTAAAATGCGTCAACACGGCGGTTAAAATGCGTCAACACAGCGGTTAAAATGCGTCAACACGGCGGTTAAAATGCGTCAACACAGCGGTTAAAATGCGTCAACACGGCGGTTAAAATGCGTCAACACGGCGGTTAAAATGACGGCGGTTAAAATGCGTCAACACAGCGGTTAAAATGCGTCAACACGGCGGTTAAAATGCGTCAACACAGCGGTTAAAATGCGTCAACACGGCGGTTAAAATGCGTCAACACGGCGGTTAAAATGCGTCAACACGGCGGTTAAAATGCATCAACACGGAGGTTAAAATGCGTCAACACAACGGTTAAAATGCGTCAACACTGCGGTTAAAATGCGTCAACACGGCGGTTAAAATGCGTCAACACGGCGGTTAAAATGCGTCAACACAGCGGTTAAAATGCGTCAACACGGCGGTTAAAATGCGTCAACACAGCGGTTAAAATGCGTCAACACGGCGGTTAAAATGCGTCAACACGGCGGTTAAAATGACGGCGGTTAAAATGCGTCAACACAGCGGTTAAAATGCGTCAACACGGCGGTTAAAATGCGTCAACACAGCGGGTTTAATACAAGTTTTAGAGAAAAACTCCAGCAGGAGTGAGGTGAGTTTTTCTCTCTGCAGAAATAAAAACACGCACGGGCATCAAGAGTCAGACGCAGCCGCTTACCAACACGTGTGTATGTGTGTGTGTGTGTGTGTGTGTGCTGTAGAATAAGTAAACCCATCATGCTAGAGCGGCTTTGTCTGGTGGACCACACCAACTTCTGCCACTAGGAGCCGAGAGGGATAATAAATATAAATCTCACAACACGCAAATTTGTGACATAATTTTGTGCTTTTATTGAACTATTTAGTCTGAGAGTTTAAACGTTTTAAATCTGTGTAGCGTATTGCTACATACTAGAATCAACACTGTTTGCTATCAGTTGTTAGATCCTGAGAATGATCAAGCAAATTAGCATATGAAGCTTGTATCATGTATAAATATCCAGGATACTTAAATAATCGATAGAAGTTCATACACCAACCTGCTTGGTCTATATTTAATCCAAAGATTAATATTTAATTTAATTTAAGATAATTTAATTTAATAGCAAATATTTATTTTTTTTAATCAGAAGTTAGGAATCTTTGCTTATTCAATAACCAAGAATATTTACACCATTCTGTGTTTCATTTCAAAGATGAGGCAGAGTTTAAAGGTTAAGAATTTATTACTAACACTTTTAAAAAATGACAATTCAGAAATGACAATTTTTGAACAGACAATTTGATATTAAACTTGTTTTAAAGGCAAACATGTGACTGAATGAAAACTAAATTGAAAATGCGAGTTTTGGACGCGTGAATGTTCTCAGAAGGTTTCTTTCAGCGAGAGAAGCGTGTTCTGGATTGGAAATGATGGTTTTGCAGCTAACTGAGTTGTTTCTTAGGAAGAACAGCATCAAACACAATCTGTTAGAGTGTCTACCTCACCCAGTATAGAAGACCCTCTTCTGGATCCGAGATGTCAGGTGGAGATGGTTTCCTCCAGGCACGAGGGTGGTAGAAGGACCTTAGTGTGACCAAATCTGTCCTGAGATGTCTCCTTGGGTCACTCGACTTGTGGAACTATTTGCGTCTCAAAATCAATAACTGAAGGAGTTTTGCGTCAGCTGGTTACAGGTGCGTCTATTCGAAGCTATTCTATCGGCGTGACAGAACAGCAGGTGGAGATTCGGGTGGCCGTTCCCTCGTTTGAAGTTACAGCTGTGGAAGATTTAGTTTTAACAAAACCACAGAACACGCCCTCTCTCAGCTTCAGAAAGCTTGGTCATGAGTCAAAGAAGTGATGGCAGTTTAACTTTTACCCTGGATAAGCCCTCTGCGTTGGATGGATAAAATGGAGGATGACCTTCTGGTTTACTGAACACACATAACCGATCATCACAATAATCATTATTAACCCAAAGCATAATAATTCATTTCAGTAATTAAAATACATTTACTGAATCAAGACATTACTTATGATGATTGTAATACAGTCAAAAACAAAGTCAAAAGTTTATTAAAATTATTATTTTAAATTATTATTGTGAACATCTTGAAGTGTCCTTCGTTCTGGGATGGAACAGCAGCAGATAAAGATGATATTCAGCAGACATCATGGCTCCTGGATTAATCGGTGGAACCAAAAGTTACAGTCTGACCCAGCTGGGAAAATGTGACCTTTGTCACAAATTAGAGGCCCTTCGTGACGCTACATCTCTTAGCTTGTTACTGACAGCAGGTACGTTTAAGTTTGGGTTTGCCTCCTGGCTGAACGGTTGCTGCAGCATGGAGGTGTAGCCTCAGCCGTCCTGGACATGATCATCCTGATGGGTTTTAGGTGAAAGCGGTTGGACTTTTCTGGTCATGTTGGAGACTTTAGCCTCTCATCCCAGAGGCTTCTTCAGTTCCCAGACTGTGTTGTGGTCAGAAACAAACACACTGGCTGTGCTGCTGTATCTTTCTTCCTTGAAAACGTGTTTTTGTCCAAATGACGGTGATGTTATTGTTCATAGAATTAAAATTCATGTTGAAGTTCAGATTATTTCATCAAGTAAGACCCGTGGTTAGCTGGCTCACTTTAAACTTGATGTTTTTGGATCCTGCCTCTTGAAAAAAATCAGAATCCGGAATCAATAGGAACCCGAATCGAAATCGTTCAAACTCAGCAGTGAGTAGGATCTTGTGAAAGAACCTGATTGGATTCTTTAGTTTAGCAGGAATCTTGAGATTATTTATGATTTACTAAATCTTTCTTAGGACTGAGATCCAGCATTTAGGGCAGGGGTGGGCAACCCTGGTCCTAGAGAGCCGCAGTCCTGCTTGTTTTCCAACTATCTTTGTTGTTCCTGCTGTTGATTACCTGGATCAGGTGTGTTCAGCCAGTTAGAAGCTGTGCCTCTCTAGGACCAGGGTTGCCTACCCCTGGTTTAGGGATTCTAGAGTCTGGAGCCTGAATCAATGATGTTTAAATCAGACTCCACTCCCAAATCCTTTTAGGGTTCCTTCAGCTTCAGGAGAGGTGTTTAACAAAGTCGCCTGACGATTCCTCCCCTCAGGTCCAGCTGGCGTTCCCTGATTTTTCAACTGGACGTAAAAACTCACCTGTCCCGTTTCTTTGGCTGCGACTCGCTGGTGAAGCTGTACATCCTGCAGCCGGGCGTTGCCATCGGCATGTGGAGGGTAAGCGGTTGAACTGTGTAAAGCAGATTTTTATTGATGTTCGCCGTAGGACAGAACCTGACTTGTGCCTTTTTCAGGGTCAGACCTACGTGTCCTTCATCTGGGTCAGCCTGCATTTCCATAGACTGGTGGAGAAGTCTCTGCTGGGATCTCCGGCCTGGTGAGTTTTACTGATTTCAGGCTCCACCCATTCAAAACTACCACAGAAGGTAAAAACAAGGAAACCCAAGTAAAGGTCCAGAGATCCGACGAGTCGTTTGTCAGGAGGAAGATTCAGACCGTTTCTGCGGGAGGAAACTTACTCTTCTGAAACCAGCAGCCATGATGCTTCTTATGAAAGGTTTTTATTAAATAATCAACATTGTTACCCAGAAAATATTGAAATCTTCAACTTAATTCTTTTGTGTTTCTAGAAGCAACGTTTTATTGTGACTTTTAGCATTTTAACTTTTTTTTTTTTTTTTTACCTTTGACGGCAGTGGTCCATCAGCTTGTTTTTGTTTTCTAAGATGATTTTATAACTGAATAAATATAAAATGAACTGAGTGTAACTAAATAAGTGAAGGACTGAGGGTATTCCTTCAGTCTCAGCTGACAAGGATAAATATCTTGATGTGTTCCTACATAAAGCCTGGTGTTTTTGTCCCTCCTTGCAGCCCGTACCTGGAGCCGCTGTACCCTCCACCCATCGGTGACTTGGACCCTGACTTGGGTCTTCATAACTACAGTTTGCATCTGATGCTACACAACACCAGCAAAGAGATGTTGGTGGCATACTTCAGCCGTCTGTCCTGTCTCAGAGGTAATCTGATTACATACTTCTGATTGTCGTACATTTTTTTTATGTCGCAGTTGAGCAAAAATTAATCAGCAGCACAAAGTGAGCTAGGAATAAATCCTTCTCGTGTTTAACTCATTCACTGCCATTGACGACTAAAGTCGTCATTTTAAATCCAACCGTTCAAAATCGTCATTTGCATGTTTTTACTGTGTGGGCGTCGGACGAGCCCCCGCACCGTGAGAACAAACATCTCAGCTCTAAAGCCGATCTTCATCCGCGTACGCCACACGTCACGTGATCAGGAAGCAGAACATCCATGTGCTAGGAGATCGTTTTGGGCCGCTGCTGTAAAAAAAGTGAGGCGCGAACCGGAAAAGCTTCTGCCGATCACAATTCAACAACGGATTATGAAAGAACGGATAACGCTCGAAACGCGACGATTCTTCCTGATGTAAGAGGTGAGTCTCCGCTTTGTTTTTGTTGTTTTGGTGTCCACATCATCCTGGCATGCAACGTTCTGTGACTCAAAAAAACCCAGTAAAAACGCTGGCAGCGAATGGCTTTGCCATCAGGAAACGGCTGGCAGTGAATGAGTTAATGGTCGTAACTGTCTCACGTCATTCCAAAGGAAAACTAAACATTCCTCCCTGACTCAGTTAAATCTTACTTTGAGACTGAAGATCTGAATCATTAGTTATAAATAATACTTAATAAAGAAACCGTATAGTTTTGACAGACTTTAAATGGGGTTTAATGGTTACTGTGGTAACATTAGAGTTACAGTTCATTCATTCATTTGGTGGCTAGGTAAAAGGAAGAAGATGATGGAGCTGCGGGTCATCAGGAGGACCAACCTGTCAGAGCACAGGTCGCTGTCTGGACGCTTAAACATTCCCTGGAAAAACAACGATCTGGATGGAGCAGTGGAGGTATTTGCATAGTCCGAGAGGTGGCAGCAGAGTTCCTTCTCTTTATTAGTTCCAAGTAATGAATCAAGTGGCCATATATGGTTCCTTGCTGTCTGTGGTCATCCCAGAAAAGGAAAAATGTAAATAAACTGGAATTAATTTAGATAAAATCCACCATCACCGCTGCCACTCCTAGCCTGCTGCTCGCTGTTTGCTGCCTGCGGACGGCAGAAGCAACTTCATCATGAAAACAATTGAGTTCTTCTGAGTGTTTAAATGTCGGTATTGATTAAAATTGTCTGCTCAGGTCCTAGAACATTATGGTCTATCTCTAACTGTGGACCACGCGATGAGTGTTCTAGAGGATGAAAGGTTTGTGTCTACAGCAGGCGTTTGAATTACAGTGGACTTTATCTATAGCAGTTTTATTTAGGGAGGCTTTGATCTGATCACGTGATTTTAAAAGGATCATGAAGAAAAGATCACATGTAACCTTTAAAACAACTAACATGTCTTCTTAAATTCATCCTGAGATGGAGACTATTGAGTCTAAAGTATCAATAGCAATGTCTGAATCCCAGTCTAAGGTCTCAATAGCAAGGTGTGAATAACCACAACATCCGCCCCTTCGTTACACTTGTAACATAGACGAGGCCATGTATTTGTCTCCAGCCTGCTTCATCGCTGTGTCAAAGGTTAACCGCATACTTTTTACCCTCTGGCTGGTGTCATGACACCCATAACACCAGGTGGAAGCGATAATGAAATATCTCGTGACTTATCCTTATCGGGCCTACAGCGCCAAGGTCTCACAAGACATTTCTACAGGAGACGAGACTTTTCTCTAACTTCCTTTTAATAAAAATATTTTATTCTGTCTCATAAAATGATTTGCTAACTTTACAAGTTGGACTGGCAGGCCTAGTGGAATGCGGCTCAGGTGGTCACAGAGGCAAAAACCTGGGCATGGGAGGAGTTCGGTGAGACCATGGAACAAGACTTGCGTACAGTTTTGAGAATATTCTGGTCCACCATCCAGTGCCTCAGAAGGGGAAAGCAGTTTGCTACCAAGTAAGTAAGTAAGTAAAAGTTCATTTATAGAGTGCCTTTCACAGATATAAATCACAAAGCGCTGTACAACATGATAAAGATCAGGGCAAATACCTCTAACCAATAAAAACATCAGAAAAACAATAGCAGTGATAAAATAGAAAATTAAATCATGAGTATAAACAAAGTGAAGGTGTGAACCCGAACAAAGCCATCTTTTTGAAACATTTAGGGAGGGAACGCCTGGATGAAAAGGTGAGTTTTTAGATGATTTTTAAAAACCTCTACAGTGTTAGAGAGACGGAGATTTGAAGGTAGACTGTTCCAAAGTCTGGGTGCAATAGTCTGAAAGGCCCTGTCCCCTTTGGTTTTCAGTCTGGTTCGAGGAACAGCCAGGAGGTTTTCAGATGTGGATCTAAGGTTCTGAGAGGTGGTGTGTGGGGATAAAAGCTCAGATAGGTAGCTTGGAGCCTGGTTGTTAAGAGCTCTATAGGTCAGGACTAAAACTTTAAACTGAATTCTATATTTTACCGGGAGCCAGTGGAGGGACTGTAAACCTGGAGTGATGTGAGCTCGTCTGCTGGATTTGGTTAGGAGTCTGGCTGCTGCATTTTGGATGGCTTGAAGGCGTGAGAGGGAGGTTTTGCTGAGACCAGTAAAAAGAGCGTTACAGTAGTCTAAGCGTGATGACACAAAGGCATGGATGATTTTTTCCAGATCTGCAGTAGAAACCAGTTTACGGACTTTTGAAATGTTTCTCAGTTGAAAGAAACAAGAGCGGGAGATGGTTTTGACGTGAGTCTAAACTTAAAGCTGGATCAAAAATAACTCCTAGGTTTCTAATGTTGGCCTTGGCTGATGGGCAAAAGGAGGCAATTTCTTGCTCGATTTTTGGCTGAAGTTCCGGGGGTGCGGTGATCAGGGTCTCTGTCTTGTTAGCATTGAGGACAAGAAAGTTGCTGGACAGCCAGTTACTGATCTGGGTCAGGCAGAGTACAAGTGTGGCCAGCCTGTCCAACTGGTGTGGCATAAAGGACATATAGAGCTGTATATCGTCAGCGTAGATGTGGGAGGAGATGTCTGGGAAAGACTGAATGATGCCAGCTAGGGGAAGAATATAGAATGCAAATAGTAGAGGCCCTAGAACTGAACCTTGTGGGACCCCGCATGTTAGAGAGGCAGTATCTGAAGAGAAGGTTTCGGACTTCACTGTGAATGTTCTGTTGGTGAGATAGGAAGAAAGCCAGTCTAGAGCAGAACCTGAAATCCCAGCCAGGGCATTTAACCTGTTCAGTAGAACGTTGTGGTCTACAGGGTCAAACCAACACTGTTTATACCAACACTGTTTATACCAACACTGTTTATAGTGGGAACAATGTGCGACTGACCTAGACCCGGGACGTTATGGATTGGTGGGCAGAATACTTTTAAAGACCTTCTCAATCCCACCGACACATCTTCCAGTGAGGAAGCAGAGTCCAGGGCCTTTGGGTTGGACTCTCCAATCTCTGGTGCTGATGTCAATGAGGTAAAAAGCTCCTTAGTGGCAAGGTCCCAGGGGTGAATGAGCTCCGCCCAGAGTTCCTTAGGGCTCTGGGTGTTGTAGGGCTGTGTTGGCTGACGCGGCTCTGCAATATCGCATGGACATCGGGGCAGTTTCACTGGATTGGCAGACCGGGGTGGTGCCCCCCCAATTTAAAAAAGGGGACTGCAAAGTGTGTTCCAGCTACAGAGGGATCACACTTCTGAGCCTCCCTGGTAAAGTAAAGAGGAGGGGCCGGCGAATTGTCGAACCTCGGATTCAGGAAGAGCAATGTGGTTTTCTTCCTGGCAGTGGAACACTGGACCAGCTCTATACCCTTAGGAGGGTCCTGCAGGGTGCATGGGAATTTGCCCAACCAATCTGCCCATGGGCTGCATGGTGGCGCAGTGGTTAGCACTGTTGCCTCACAGCACGAAAGTTGCAGGTTCGAAACTCGGCTGTGGCCTTTCTGCGTGGAGTTGCGTGTTCTCCACATGCATGCGTGGATTTCCTCGGGGTACTCCGGTTTCCTCCACAGATCACAACATGCCCTATAGATTTGAAATTGTAAGTCGCTTTGGATAAAAGTGTCTGCTAAATGAATAAACATAAACATAATCTACATGTGTTTTGTGGATCTGGAGAAAACATTTGACCGCGTCCCTCGGGGGGGCCCTCTGGGGGGTACTTGAGAGTTTGGGGTATGTAGTGTTCACACTTTATAGCGTGACGGCTGCAAATTAAGTAGGACCAATAAGATGTCATTGGCTGAACCCATGGGTTCACCACTCGTGGGAGGGGCCAAAGGGGTCAGGTGCAGTGTGTCACGGTTGGTAGTCGAGGTCAGGGACCTTCGCGGTCTGATCCTCGGCTACAGAAGCTGGCTCTTGGCACATGGAATGCCACCTCTCTGGTGGGGAAGGAGCCTAAGTTGGTGTGTGAGGTTGAGAGGTTGTGACTAGATATAGTCGGACTCACCTCAACGCATGGCTCTGGCTCTGGAATCAGTTTCCTTGAGAGGGATTGGACTTTCTACCACTCTGGAGTTGCTCCCACTGAGAGGCGTCGAGCAGGGGTGTGCACACTAGTTGCCCCCCACTGGGCAGTGCACTACCAACACTATCTATAGTGGGGACAGTGTGCTGCTGACCTCTACTCAGGACGTTGTGGATCGGTGGGCAGAATACTTCGAAGACCTCCTCAATCCCAGGGTGTGTTCCAACTACTTCCACTTCGCTGGAGCGGTTTGCAGCCATGTGTGAAGCAGCTGGGATGAGAATTAGCTCCTCTAAATCTGAGACCATGGTCTTGATTCGGAAAAGGGTAGAATGCCTTCTCCGGGTCAGGAATGAGGTCCTGCCCCAAGTGGAGGAGTTTAAGTATCTCGAGGTCTTGTTCACGAGTGAGGAAAAACTGGAGCGTGAGATCGATAGGTAGATTGGTGCTGCATCTGCAGTGATGCGGGCGTTGTACCGGTCTGTCATGGTGAAGAGAGAGCTGAGACAGAAGGCGGAGCTCTCGATTTACCGGTCGATCTACGTTCCTACCCTCACCTATGGTCATGAGCTTTGGGTAGTGACCGAAAGAACAAGATCGCGGATACAAGCGGCCGAAATGAGTTTTCTCCGAAGAGTGGCTGGGCTCTCCCTTAGAGATAGGGTGAGAAGCTCGGTCATCTGGGAGGGGCTCGGAGTAGACCCGCTGCTCCTCCACATCGAGAGGAGCCAGTTGAGGTGGCTCTGGCATCTGGTCAGGATGCCTCCTGGACGCCTCCCTGGTGAGGTTTTACTGGCACGTCCAACTAGGAGGAGGTCTAAAGGTAGACCCAGGACACGGTGGAGGGACTATGTCTCTCACCTGGCCAGGGAACACCTTGGGATTTCCCTGAAAGAGCTGGCCCAAGTGGCTGGGGAGAGGGAAGTCTGGGCCTCTCGCCTTAGGCTGCTGCTCCTGTCACCCGACTCCGGATAAACTGATGAAAATGGATGGATGGATGGATGGATGGATGGAAAATGTTCAGGGACCATAAACACACTTCGTATTAATTCAGACAGTCAAGTATATAGTTAAAAAGGAATTTTATTCTTTTCTAAACTAATGATTATGCATGACATGATATGAATAATGAGATGTGATGGAGTGAATATGCGGTGATGGAATGCAATGTGTGAGGTGGTGTGATGTAAGCTAGATGTTTATCAGAATCTTTGTATCTGAAAGAAATTTTTAAATCTGGGTGTAAAAGAATTTGTCTGCTAGATGAGTCAACCGAGTCCAGAGCCTCCATTCACCGAATGAAATAACAGTTTTAAAGTGACTAAGCAGGTCCTCCCCCAACAGGAAAGGCAAAGCTTCGATGTCAGACACAAACACTGGGTGACTCGCGGACATGCTACCCACTGAAATTTAAAGGAACACCATAGACGACAAGGTCATTTGGCCTGGAGAG